AGGAGGATACAGAGAGGAAGATGAGAAACAGAAGGATGCAGGGAGGAGGAGGAGAAACAGGAGGATGCAAAGAGGAAGAGGAGGAGGAGAAAAAACTAGGAGTAGGAGTAGGAGGGGAGATGCCCCTTCACCGAGGAGGAAAGTGTGACACCGAGATCCTCCCGGCCAGCCCCTCTCTCGTCCTCCTTACTCTGCAATTACGTTGATGTGATTTGCAACAAGAGTGGAAAACCGCGAAGGAGGGGAGGGGGAGGGGGGGGGAGGGCACGTGGTGGTATGTAATTACTCTGACGTGAGCACGAGCAGGGGGGAGGGGGAGGAGAGGGGGGGGGGGGGGAAGGATAGGAGGACAGAGGATGTGCTTACAAAGTTAAAGGGGAAAAGCTCTCTCTCAATCTCTCTCTCTCTCTCCCTCTCTCTCTTTCTCTCTCTCTCTCTCTCTCTCTCTCTCTCTCTCTCTCTCTCTCTCTCTCTCACTCTCTCTCACTCTCTCTCACTCTCTCTCTCACTCTCTCTCTCACTCTCTCTCTCACTCTCTCTCTCACTCTCTCTCTCACTCTCTCTCTCACTCTCTCTCTCACTCTCTCTCTCACTCTCTCTCTCTCTCTCTCTCTCTCTCTCTCTCTCTCTCTCTCTCTCTCTCTCCCTCTCTCTCTCCCTCTCCCTCTCTCTCTCCCTCTCTCCTCCCTCTCTCCCTCCCTCTCTCCTCTCCTCTCTCTCCCTCCCTCTCTCCCTCCTCTCTCCCTCCCTCTCTCTCTCCCTCTCTCTCTCCCTCTCTCTCTCTCTCTCTCTCTCTCTCTTCTCTCTCCCTCTCTCTCTCCCTCTCTCTCTCTCCCTCTCTCTCTCTCCCTCCCTCCCTCTCTCTCCCTCCTCTCCTCTCTCCCTCTCCCTCCCTCCCTCTCCCTCTCTCTCTCTCTCTCTCTCTCTCTCTCTCTCTCTCTCTCTCCCTCTCTCCCTCTCTCCCTTCTTCCCTCCCTCACCTCCTCCTCCTCCCTCTCCCTCCTCCATACCATAAAACAAATTGACTAAAAAAAAGAACAACAAAACAAAAGAACGTAAACCGGGGGTGGGGGGAGGGGGGAGGGGGGTTGGGAATAAGATGAAGGATAGCAACAGAAGAGAAAATAGAAAAGTAAATACACGAAGAGCAGCGATAATGAGGAGATAGAAAGACAGCAAGAGAAGAGAATAATAATTCATAGACGAGCATAGAACAGGAAGGACAGATGGAGTTTTTTTTTTCTTTCTTTTTAGTGGAGTCTGTGCATAAATTATTAATAATGATAAAGATAGTAGAAAGCAGAGTGAGGTAAGAATAATTAGATAAACTGTTCAAACCTACAAAACAGAACTAGAAAATAGGAAAGAAAAAAAAAACGTAAAGGGAGAAAAATCGAATAAGATAAATGAGCATAGACATAAATAGCAGATGGTAATAAACATGGTAGAAAGTAACACTGCACAGTAACGTCAGGGCAGGTCTTGGAGAGAGAGAGAGAGAGAGAGAGAGAGAGAGAGAGAGAGAGAGAGAGAGAGGAGAGAGAGAAGAGAGAGGAGAGAGAGGAGAGAGAGAGAGAGAGAGAGAGAGAGAGACAGGGGAGAGAGAGGGAGGAGAGAGAGAGAGAGGCAGACAGAGAAAGAGAAGAGAGAAGGAGAAGGAGTTAGAGAAAGAAACAGACAGATAAAAAGAAGGGAAAGAAGAAATATCTTTTACAAATACCTGAAAGAGTCGTCAGTGAGCCAAATAGCTCACGTACACGCGTTTATGAATCAGGAATTCGCCAGCCTCGCTTTACAGGTATTTTACGTATGGGAGAAAGGGGGGGGGGGGGCAGGGATAACTAGGGTAAGGAGGGCGGAACAGGGGGAGGGCAGGGAGAGGAGGGAGGAAGGAAGGAAGAGAGCGAAGGGGAGGAGAAAGAGAGAGGAGGAGAAGAAAGTAGGTAAATGAGGAAGGAAGAGAGGAAAAGAGAGCAGGGAAAGGACGGAGGAAGGGAGAGGAATAAGGAAAGCAAGAAGGAAAGGAAAGAAAAAAGGGAGGGCAGGGAAAGGAGGAAGGAAAAGGTGTTAGAGGAGAAGGGAGAGAGAGAGGAGGAGAAGAAAACAAGAGGAATGAGGAAGGAAGGGAAAGGGGAAAGGAGAATAAGGAGGACAAGGAGAAAAGAAGAGGAGGAGAAAGGGAGAGGGGGAGAGGAGGAGGAAGGAAGGGATGGCAAAGGAGAGGAGGAGAATAGGAGGAATAAGGAAGGATAGGAGAGTAGAATGAGTAGATAGGAAAAGGAGCAGGAGAAGAGGAATAAAAAGGGGAAGAGGAGAAGGAAGTGAGATGGGGAGAAGAGGAGAGGGAAGAGGGATAGAAATGAAAGTTGAATGCGAAAAGGGGTAGGAAGGGCGGACAATGGGGGGGGGGAATGAAAGAAGAGTGGGAAGCGTTTAAAAGGCGTAGAAGGAGGGGGAAGGACAAAAGTATTTCATTTAAACAAAACAAAGAAAAAAAAGA